CCCGCCCCCTGCCTCTCTCTCTCTCTTCCATCTCTTTCTCCCCGCCTGTGTTCTTGCTTGTGTATGTCGACGTCCCGTCTTGTCGTCTTGCTTCGCTGCTGTCCTTCCCCCTCTGCTAGTTTTTGCCTGAATAGACGCTCCGCTGCCGAGGCGATTCCACTTGCAAAAGTTTGCAACAGTGCTTACGGCATTTGTAGCTGCAAGACGTCCAGATGAGGAGAGGAAGGAGTCGTGTATCGTCCGCCACACGTCGACTACCAAAAAATATTGAAGTCCTGCTGCTGTTCCTTTTCGCTTTGTCGTTGGGGCAGTTAGTCGGTCAATTCTGCCCTCCATCCCTCCCTCCCCCACCCCCCACCCCTCTCTCTCTCCAGCACTGCCCCAATCGCAATTAGTCACGACTCTTCTCATCGATCAGTCCGGCCAGCAAGCACTGCCGGGTCAGCTTGCGTACGGATTCTTCCACCCTGCACACGAACTCAATCAATATCACCTCGGCTCATTAATGCGCCGTGGTATATGTACATATATACACACCATTTATCGGCAAAGCCGCCTTTTTCTTGTCATAGAACGTCCCCGTTTTGTGTAAGCCTTCAAGCCTGCACGTCGTGTGCTCTTTCTCTTTTTTCATGTGTGCTTTGGGGTTCTTTGCGATGACCACCAAAGACACAGTGGATATGAGACCTTATCCGGTCCTTATCCGGTCCTTATCCGGTCCTTATCTGGGGCAAGGTCCCACTAGCACGGATTAAGAGATTCTGGCCGTTGATCTTTGCTGTCTACGGTCAAAATCGTTTGATTCGTGTAAGTGGGACCTAGCCCCTGGTCCTATTCCGGTCCTTATCCGTTGTCGAGAAGACTAACGAAGAGCACTGGACGTGCCCATGCGTACGTCGTCTGAGGTGGGTGCGCATCGTAGTTGTTCGTAAGCAGCATCACCCCTGCTTGTGTACCCGTATCAATTCTTCTTTTTTCCGGCCCATGCCCCGCCGTGGGTCTAGCCATTGAATGGACGACAAGACTTTACCGATCTTCGTCTTCCATGTCTTGATGGTATCACTTGTGTAGTTGAGAATGACAACGCTATGCCGCCATGCGCCTGTCTCGGACCGTCGGATGAAGCCGGCGATAGTCGGCGGACAGACAGTATCGTAGCGGAGAAAAGGCAAGAGCCTCTTCCGATACGATGTTTTAGCTATAGAATAGCAATCACCTTTCTTGGTTGTTGTCA